CAAGAGGAGGAGGAGAAAGGACCAAGAGATGGATGAAGTCAAAGACCAAGAGGAGGAGAATACGAAAGAGCAAGAGGAGGAGGAAGAAAAGGAACAAGAGGACGGGGAAGAATCAGACCACGAGGAGGAGATAGAAAAGGACCAAGAGGAGGAGAAATAAAAGGAACAAGAGGAGGAGGAAGGTGAGGAACGTGAGGAGGAGGAAAATGAGGAACAAGAGGAGGAAGAGGAAGGTGAGGAACATGAGGAGGCAAAAGACGATGATGAACAGGAGGCAGAAGACGATGATGAACAGGAGGCGAAAGAAGATGTAGACTATCGAAGCGAAGCTATACCACCAGAGAAGTTGTGCTTTGAACCTGGTATGTTTAATATCAACATCAAGCTGTCAGGAAGATGCTATATTGAGAAGTTTGTGAAAACGTTAGAAAATGTGCTAGATGATAGAGAGTTGAAATGGTTCAAAACGCACCCTCACTTCAAGCACTTCTTCCACATGTACTTGGAAGAAAATCATAAATCTCAGGGGATGTGGATGCTTATGCTGCGTATGGTGCCATCAAGCAAAATGAAGGAATGCTGGTTTGTAGTAAATGGGGTGCCCATCCGGTATTCTTTGAGAGAGTTGGGTCTTATTTCTGGATTGTTGAAGCTACCCTAAGAACTACAAAATTTTAGGTGGTGACAGTAGTTTAGGTGGTGACAGTAGTAAGTTTGTTGCAAAGTATTTTGGTGAAGGGAAGAAGAAAGTAACACTGAAGGATGTAGATGAGAAGATGGAGTCAATGAAATCCAGAAAAGTGAGAGGTAGGATGAATATTGCTGTCTTTTACTTCTTAGCCAACATAATTGTTGGGAAGACGAAGACAGATAATACAGCTGCAGGTGTAGAGCCTTTCTTTTTGAGAGCGGCTAGTGATTTAGATTTGTGTGAAACATTTCTGTGGGGATGATTTGCATTTGATCAGATTATGAAGGACATTCACAATATAGTGAAGAATTTAAATGGGAATGTGCCTGAAGATGCGAACAAAGTGTTTCCTAGTTTCATCATTTCTATGGAGGTAAATAAGAATAAATGTCATAATGTGTTGTCTGATTTGTCGTATGTATGTTCCTTTTAATAATTCATGTTGTGTAATGCGTAGCTACTAGCTTATGAGGCAATTCCAGCCCTTGGTAGACATTTTAGAGAAGCTGTTGTAGAAGCCGAGGATAGCTGTCCAAGGATGTGCAAGAGCAGGTTCAAGAAAGGAGATTTGAAAGGTTTCGCACTTTCGGAAATAAATTCTCAACTTGGTGCAACAAAGGTTAGAACTCAAATCTTAGCAAATAATTGAGTATATTCTCCATTGCTAGGATCAACCTGAATGGTTTTTTTCGTTATAAAAGGATATTTATAGTGTGTTGGCTCCATCGAATGATGAGAAGCAACTGCTGGCTCTCATCATGGACGATGAGGATATAGACCAAGATGTATCGGATTATGTTGTTGATGATTGGAAATCAATTTTGCTGGAGGAGAAAAGTGAGATATTTTTTCAAGAAATGTTCAAAAAAGATGTCAATAGCCGAAAGAACAAAGGGAAAAAAACATCGGGTCCTAAAACACCAGCTCGTAAAACCGCATCAGCTCATAAAACCGCATCGACTCCTACAACTACAATTGATGTTGAGAAACTGATGGCAGGCTTAGAGGGCTTGACAAAAACAGTGGAATATGGGTTTAAGGAAATGAGAAATAAGTTAGCTGATCATGACAAAAGAATCAAAAAGATGGAGCTGTTTGTGGGTGAAGAGAAGAACAGAAATCAAGATGACGAAGAGAATCGTCTTAACTTCTTTGATGCAGATTACCATGGAGGTGGTGAGGAGGCAAATGATGGCGCTGGTTGTTCTGGGAAGAAGCAAACAGAAGGAGAGAATGTGGAGAAGGATAACGAAGAGAAAGTGGAAGGAGCTGATGTGGAGAGGGATAGAGAAGAGAACGAGGAAATCAACGGAGAAGGGCCAACCCGTGTAACCAGAAGGATTAGTGGACGAACAAGTAAAAAATCTTAATACAAAAAAAACCCTTTTACAGAAGGTAAAAGAGGGAAGAAAAGGTCAGCGAATGATGAAAAGAAGAAGGGAGCTCCCAAGGGAAAGAAACAAAAGACTTAGAGTTTAGGGGCTGGTTTTCAAGATAAGTGACAGCGGTTGGGTACCTCCTTTTAAATTCATCATACTTTTGCAGGAACTCAGCTTCTGTGTACACCCTTGCGCACTCTCTGAATTTTTCAGCTGCATCCTCTTTGTTCACATAATAAACATGAGATTTCACATTTTGCGACATATGATATATACAAAAGTCATGTTGAGCCTTTGGGTACACTTCGCCAACCGCTTTAACTAAACTTTGATTACGATCAGTTACAAAAATCAACTCACCATTATCTGAAAAAATAGTTTTCAACCTTTCGAAAAACCAGTTCGAACTTGCATCTTTTTCACCATCAATAACACCAAATGCAAGAGGGTAATGGTGATGATTAGGGTCTTGAGCTGTTGCAATAACTAAAACACCATTATAGCCAGCCTTCAGAAATGTTGCTTCTACAATAATAACTTTCCTCATTCCTTCAAACCCTTCCACGCAAGGTCCAAGTGCGACAAAAAGGTACTTGAACCTCTCTTCACCGTCTAAACACAATTTCGTTTTTCTTCCAGGATTAGCTTGCTCCAGCACGTATAAGTAAGAAGGCAGCAACAAGAAACTCTCCTCTGGATCCCCAATCACTTCATTACGAGCTATATTTCTCCCTCTCCATGCAGTAGCATAAGACACTGACACACCGACCTCTGTTTGAAACAAAGTCATAATTTCAGCTGGTGTTGTGGTCTACAACTGGCTTGCACACTTTTCATTCACCAAAGATGCAACCAACCTTTTTGTGCCTCTTGTGCTAGCGTAGCCACTACGTGACACCCGTGAGCATGTATGCATTTTATTATATCTGGTAACTTTGAAACATCCTGATTTTACACATTTCACTACTCGAATATGCCAAGCACAACCTTCTTTTTCAGCAGCACATTTCACAACCCACCGCTTCTTATCCGAGTTCTTAAGTGAGATCCCAAAACATTTACTAAGTGAAGCTCTCCGAACTAAATCTATCACAGATTTATTGGATTCAAACTCTTGTCTTAACTCCAGACCTGTCCCATCTTCCCATGCTTCTATTGACTGACTTCCTTGAGAAGGACGTGGGAACTCCTCAATTTCAACTATCGCACCCCTATCTACCCCACCATCAAAACTGTTATCCATCCCGTCATCAGAACTATTCCCTCCATCATCCTCAGAACTATTTTCCCCATCGTCATCAGAATTATTCTCCCTACCATCATCGCCATTGTTCTCTCCACCGTCATCACCATTGTTATCCACATGATGCATTATCAGAGCACGTGACGTATTATCATTTCCAACTATGATATCCTCAGTCGCCTCTTCTTGTAAAGCTTTATCTCCCTCATTTCTAACGTGTGCAATAATGGCACTACCATCACCTCCATAATTCACACCAAATGAAATATATCCACATCCCCACGGATTTTCTATGACTTCCACCTGCAGACCATTTCTACAGCCACGATCATCCACAACGGACAGATATCCATAAATATCGTCATCGCAATCCACATAAACAGGAAGACTATCATTCACTAGCACCGGAAGAAAACTCAATTTAAGTTTCGTTGTGTTTTCATCTACCCCAATCTTCTTGCATATCTTTTCTACTAACAATTTATATGCTATCTCTTCTATAGATGTTGCTCTGAATGTTATCAAGTACATGCAATGCTCTTTTGCTTTCCATCGGTAGTCATCATCGGTATATCCTCCAGTAGTAAAATTAATGATTATGGAACACTTGGTCATTGAATCCTGCAAAAAAAAAATTATAAAATGATTCAGTAATACCTAGTTGTACCAGTTATACTACTAGTATAACCCAGTTGTACCAGTTATTCCATTACAGTAATTCCAGTATTCTCAGTAATCTTAAAAAACGGCACAATTGGGAAAACTGGTATTACTAATCGGCCAAGACAAAATTACAACAAATTTGAAAACGAAACAAATGGAAAAAACTGGTATTACTAATCGGCCAAAACATATTTAGAACAAATTTGAAAACCGTCCAACTGGAAAAACTAGTATTACTAATCGGCCAAACTGAAGTCCTAATGAAATTTTGAAAAACGGTACAACTGGGAAAACTGGTATTACTAATCGGCACTACTACTAGTCTCAGTCACAGTATTTCCCAGTTGTACCAGTTATTCCATTACAGTAATTCTAGTTTTCTCAGTATTACCCAGTTGTTACAGTTATTCCATCAATTTTAGTAATACCTAGTTTTAACAGTAATACCAAATCTGAAGTGGATGTTCATATTTACCGATCCAACGATCAAACCAAATCCTGAGAAAATTCAGTCTGTTTCGATATAATGCAATTCAACCAAACTTATATCCTAATCGACCCAGATAGTGGAGATGAATACAAGTTCAATAACAATCAACAGACGCTTCAATAATTCATCCAAAAATCAAAACCTCCAGTTGTTCTTCCCAAAAACAAAAATTACCAAATACAACTTGCATTCAAAGGATCTGTGTACATTTTCTTCAACTAATAACATACCTGACAATAAAGAATACTTAGTTTCAATAATTGTTAGCGGAATCAGCTTCATGCAATGGAGAGGGAATGGATGGAGGAGGTGTCGGGGAAGAAGAAGCTCAGCTGCGGGTTTTTTGTTTCTCGTTTTTTTTTTCTTTTTCTTATTTATTTACAATATTTAGAAAACACCAAAAACAATATAATATAAAATTGAATTCATTAAGGGTATATTCGACAATTCCAACAAATGAGAGTATTTGGAATTTTTAGGAGTATATCAGAATGATTTTTAAACCCTATAAGCACTCTAACACAGCGTCTCATTTTTGTTCATAGTCTTCTTACTTACTAGACAAGTAATCTAACTCTTAGTATTATTTTCCTTCTTTTTCATAGTTCTTTTTTCACAAATGGAAGGAATGAAATACTAATGAGGAGCTGAATAAGACTGCATCAGTTTTGTCAGAAATTCTCAGCTTCTGCAACATAGGAGAGATTTGGTCTTGTATGCTTCAAACATTTGTTCCCCACTGCTGTTCCAGTCTATCTCCTCAGGCATTATTGCTGGTTCGGTTTAGCTATCGGTTTCCAACAGCTTGTGTGGTTGTGGCGGTTTGTGTAGGTTTTTTTTTTTTTTTTGAAAGAAAGTCTTGCTTTCGCTTTCCTGTGTTGCTATGGGCAATATCCTCTGACAAACCAGAAACGATTCTCCTTTTTATTCACTCTCTTAATCAATTCCGAATGGAAAAGGAAGATAGATCAGTTGAGAACCAAAATCAAGAATTCTAAGGTCAAATTCATTGCAGGGAGAATCATCCCAGCCATTGCGACTTCAACTGCCATGGGTACTGGGCTGGTCTGCCTCGAGCTCTACAAGGTTCTTGATGGAGGACACAAAGTGGAAGACTACAGAAACACGTTCGCCAACCTTGCGCTTCCACTCTTCTCCATGGCTGAACCAGTTCCGCCAAAGGTGGTGAAGCACAGAGACATGGCTTGAATTCGTGTTTCAGGACTGAATACCTTGTGGAGTCACCTTCTGATGGTGAACGTTTCCTAGTCAAATGGTACACTCTAGCTTGTTCAATTATACCAGTCTGAATTCATATGTTTTTTCAGAAAAAAAAAAAATAAATATTGCTGTGCATACGATTACGTGCAGGTACGCACATTGCTTCTACTCGTCGGTGTTAAATAGAATTGACTACAAAACAAAGAGGTTCATGGTGTTTAGAGAGGAGGAGACAACGGAGGGAAGTATCATGTGTTACACAGAAGATATTGGAGATATGTGCATTTTCCTTGCAAGCAACGAAGCTTTCTGCATCTCGGCTAGCTCCAGCCCCGGCCTAAACCCTAACACAATCTATTTTATGGGACGTGGCTTAGGTTTTTTCGATCTCGCTACAGGAGAAGCACATCATTATAAAACTCTTGATGGCGTTCTCAGCACCCATTACTGGCTACCTCCATTTTCTATATAGATCTTATCTACTACTGGTCCATTAATAAGTTTCTTTCCATGAATCGGTTTGGATTGCTAAACTCTAAAACATTGTTTTTGATGGAACTAGTAAACCCTATTTGAAATACTTAACGTCGGTGTTACGGATAGCTTTATTTTTTTTTTATATAAGATGTATATATTTTGGTATTCCAGTATTTCAATATATGCATATTTCTCATCTACAACTACAAGTTAATATTTGGCCAGCTAATGTTCTTAGAGGAAACCCGACTCTGCGTGAGGTGTTGCAGTGGCTGGAGGACAAAGGGCTTAGCGCGTACAACATCTCATGTGGAAGCTGTCTTCTGTTCAACAGTATGTTCCCGAGGCACAAGGAGAGGATGGACAAGAAAGTGGTTGATCTCACTCGGGATATCGCCAAAGTCGAGTTGCCGCCTTATCGTCGCCATCTTGATGTGGTGGTGGCTTGTGAGGATGAAGATGACAATGACGTTGATATTCCTCTCGTCTCAATCTATTTCAGGTGAGAATTTATCAAACAATAATAAAAGAAAAAAAAACAGAGAAGAAGAAGCTGAAACTCTTTGTGAGAGCGAATTTGTGTGTTTGTTTTTGTGTCTCTTTTATCTGCATCTGCCTTTTGAAGACCGTTTTTCTTCGGATGCTTCTGGCTGATGAAATGATTTTCACTTCGAGATAGAGACCCAATTCTATTTGATCATCTCTCGTTCTATTTCTTTCAAGTGGTTTTTTACTATGTTCAATTCCTGGCGTGGTTTAATACATAAGTGTTTCCTCAGAATAACCACAAACGATCACCCTCTTATTCTCTCTCTGTATCAATTATGTAAAAAACGAATAAAAAAAAAAAAAACAGAACAACCTTATATAAAGAAAAAAACACAAGTTATATGAAGGAGAGTTCATGGATCAGACCATAACAGTTAGAGGTTTCGTTACGCAACAATTCCCAGTTAAAACATTATCACACCACTCAACGCTACCCCAAATCTCTCCTTGGTGTCTTTCTAGCGAAACCTCCGCACACCAAACCTCAATTTGTTTAGTTCGGAAAATTTTTTTAGGAAAAAACAAAGCCAGTTTCTCACCGCAACACACAATATCTGAATACCACGAATCTGTCGTCTCAGACAACAACTCTTCCAAACCTTTCACCACACTCCAACACTTTTGCTTTGGATAGGGCATGTTTATCGCTAAAACCCTTAATGAGTTCTTATTGAATATTTTATTAATAAATTTAACTTGAAAACCTTGCTTAAAAACTTTGCTTAAAAACAGGTTTATTGCAGGGTTCTTAAAAACAATATCCATTTTGTCACTGATACACCATCAACGAGAGTGTGCTCCACTTTTATCACTGATACACCATCCTTTTCCACAGGGAGTTCTGCCATTGTAATATCGGTCACTGAAACCAGACCTTCTTCCCTGCTCCAAACAATCTCCACATTTTCTAGCTGCCTCTGTATTGATACCTGATAATGAAAAAAGAAAACACAGTTCGAAGCTAAACATATTATTCAGAAGACAAAGAAGCAAAAATCTTGTCAGCTTTTACTCTAATGTCTCATGACAAACATTAATGCAAGAAAGAGAGAGAGAGCTACCGTGTAACATTGCTTATGAATTTGAATTCTGCAGAGGAAGAGAAACGTTGCAAGCCTTAATCGCATCAACATAATCAGCAAAGTCAATTGAAGTCTCTCCCACCAGACCAGACTTTGCAGATCCCTGCAAAAAAGCTAAGAAACTTCACCGTCTCCTACACTGGAGATTCCGACCGGCAATGTCCGTGGAGAACCATCGTTTTCTCTGTCTTTCTCGTCGACTTCTCAACATCTTTGGGAACAAGAGAGGTCAACGTGGCTGAAAGGAGATTTGAAGACGAGAGGAGAAGTGTTTGCTCGGAGAAGAGTTTGATCGCAGAAGGATTTGGTGAAGTGTTTGATCCCAGAAGAAGAAGATCGGACGAAGGCGCCGAAAGATTTTGGCCGATGAAGAATAAAATTTTCTCCCCAAAACCATCAACCCATTCACAACATGACACGTTGCAATAAGAGTCGACTCCTTATAAATCTTAAACAGAGATCGTTTCTTCTAATTAAACCCATTTTCTATTTAATTTTGGCCCAAATCATCATAAGGAACCCATGAAGATACCTGCAATAAACATGGCTAGCTCTTACCTCGTTCTCGTACGTATCGTGGTAGTACAATATGTCATTAACTACACATGCATACTTCCACTTCTTAGAATTCAACATCTCGTCCCTTTCCCATTTACTCTTCTTTGGGTCGTAAATAAAGCTGTTCTTATCATTCCTCATGTATAGCTTATCAGCCATCACTACACAACCATACGACCACATGCTCCACATGGAACGTAGCTCAATGTCTATCTTTGTAATCTCAGGCTCCCACCTTTGTGTTTCTGTATTGAACACAATCACCATCTTCTTCGAAGAAGTATCCAAATGTCCTATTATGTAGATTCTCCCGTCGATGATGCCAGCGATTGTATAATACATGAGCACAGGCATTCTGGGGAGGGGTTGTGCCGTGTGAGATCTGCAGTCGATGCTTACCGAACTCGATGTCTGAAACCACCAAACCCATATATCCTCGATCCCACCGTGACAAAGCTTACACCGCGAGGAATATCGGGAACTGAAGAGATAAGGATCAAGCAACGGTTGCCATTGATTTTCCGGCGGAGAATATACAAATGGTAATCCTTGGTTTCGTTGTTATAGAGGACAGCACAGAGACAGTGTTCGATGCAGCCTAACAACGATCGTCTCGCATATAGTTCAGGGGATACAACGAGTGCTCGGAAGTGCTTTGAAACGAGGGAGAGTGTTGGATACTCACATCTAGGTACACGCGCTAAGACGTCAATGATAACATCTTCGGGAAGTGACGTAATCAGGGACAACAATGGCGTCGTCTTTGCACTAATTTTATAAGACGTGTAGATTTTGCTGAGGAAAGTGCTAAACCCTAATAGTAGGCTCAAATATCCGATCACCGAGACAGAGAGCAAATCCCTAATTCCCATAAGATCCCTCCAAATTTAGAACATGCATGCAAGAGTTGTTCAGGATGATGCCAAGGCACGACCGGTCTAAGAGAAGATTGAAGAAGAAGTTTGGTTTGGTGACGACGAGAGGAAATTGAGCTTGAGAGATAATATAGAACGAGAAGACGACATTTCCTTTGTTTTATTTCTTTATTTTTAATAAATAGACTTTACCTTTTTTCCTTTTCTTTTTTCTGATCGAGTTGAAAAAAAAACAGGCAAGTATGGATGCATATCTCAAAGTGTTGGATGTGACAAATATTTAGGATTTCTTGAAGATTTCTCCAAATTTTAAAACAGAAATGTTCTTGTATATAGTGGATGAAATTCGCGAGAGAACAAAAGGTTGGCACACTAATTAAACTGTAGCTAATTTTTTAACGAGCCAAAAGGAATATACGTGATTTCACCCTAAGTTTTACAATCAAAGTCTGCAAATAAGCGATTTGGTTTCTTTATTTCAAGATGATCCCAAAATTTGTTGCTGCTGTATTCACCAAGGCTCTTGATAGGGTTCCATTTAAATCGTGTTTTGTATCTTCATACTCCTATATTTAATGGTTTTATATCGGAGAAATAAAATCACAGAAAACGAATTCTTACATGAAACGAATATAGAACAAAGTGAAAAAGAGAACCAAATCAAGATTTCTAGGGTCAAGTCTATAGAACTCTTAACTATTATTTTTTCCTCAAATCAACTATTTTCATTTACATAAACAAAATCAGAAAATGTGCTTTAGGATAACCAAAAAAAAAACAAAAAAAAAGTTATATGGAGGAGAGTTCTTGCATCAAACCATAACAGCTAGAGTTTTCGTTAGTTAATAGTTCCGTGTTAAAACATGATCAAACCACTCAACTTTACCCCAAATCTCTCCTCCTTGACGTCTTTCCAGCGAAATCTCCGCACACCAAGTCTCTGTTGTTCTTTCTTCTGCTTTTGGAAAAAACAACAAAGCCAGTCTCCCACCATAACTCACAGTCTCTAACCACCACCATGAATTTTCCGTATTAGGCAAAGATTCTTCCAAACCTTTCACCACTCTCCAACACTTTTGCTTTGGATCATACGCTCTTATCTTTTTCTTGTCAATATCGGGGTAGTACAATACATCATCAATGACACATGCATTGTCCCACTCCTTTAGATTCAGCACGTCGTCTGTTTCCCATTTTTTCTTGTTTGGCTCGTAAACAAAGCTGTTATCATTATCCCTCATGTACAGCTTATCAGCCATCACCACCACACAACGAAGCCACGAGTGACCTAGCTCAATGTCTGGCTTTATGACCCCATGCTCCCACATTTGTGTTTCTGTATTGAACACCACAATCACCTTCTTCTTCCTCTGGCAATATCCAAAAACGTAGATTCTCCCGTCAATGATGTCAGCGAATGTACTAGTCATGTCAACAGGGATGTTTGGGAGAGGGTGTACCGTGTGAGATTGACAGTCGATGCGTAAGGCATTTGATGCATTGTTAAGTCTGTTACTCTCACCAAACACATATATCTTCGAACCCACTGTGACAAAGCGTCCACGCCAAGTCATACCGGGAAGCGTCCGGATAAGGACCAAGCGGCGACTGCCATTGGCTTTCTGGTGGAGAATATACCATCGGTTATTATTGGTTTCTTTGTTATAGAGGATAACATAGAGACATTGTTCTGTGCGGCCCAACAAGGATCGTCTCGCGTATAGCTCAGGAGATGCAACGATTGATCGGAAGTGCTTACAAACGAAGGTAAGAGTTGTTGGATAGTCGCATCTCGGTACACGCGCTAAGATGTCAATGATAACATCTTCGGGAAGTGACGTTATGAGAGACGATGGTCCATACGATTGCTTCTTCTTTGCCATAATTTTAAAAGACGTGTGTAGATTTTGATGACGGAAGCGCAAAACCCTAATTGTAAGCTCAAATCAACAATCGCCGAGAGAAGGAGAGAGGTAGCAAATACCCTAATAACGCGACCTTTTTTTTTTCTTTACCTTTTTTCTTTTCTTTTTCTTATCGAATTTCTTTTTCCCTTTTTATCTCTAGGGAAATTATATTTTGTAATTAATTTCTCTATTTACTAATAAAAAAAAAAACAGGCAAGTATGGAGAGCGTTGGATGTGACAAATCTTTAAGATTTCTTGAAGAATTCTCCAAATTTTAAAACAGAATAGTTGTTGTGTATAGGGTTAAAATTCGCGAGAGATGAATTCTCCAAATTGGCACATATATTTTATACCATCTTTGTAAGAAAAACTCTTTAAAAACAAAAGAAGATTAGTGTGCGCAAATAACTTACTAAAAACATCATTTTCTAGTTTTTCTAGTCATCAAATATATCGAAAACAATTCCATGCTTCTTATTCATTTATGATACTAAAACTGAAACGCAAACTCCCATAATGGAAGACTTTCGATGTATCAATTTTTTTCTTTCATGTTATGCGTAACTCCCTATTCATAAGTACAAAGAAAAAATGATTCGTATCTAAATAACTTCCTAACAAAAATTGCCAAGTGAAGGTACTAAAGAAACAGCTTAATTCCTTATTCATAAAGAAAGGTATTTACTCCGTTCGGTTTCAAAAGTCGAACAAAATTCTACATCGATCTACTAGTTGCTCATATCAATCATATCTTAATACCAGACTTGAAAATACAGTGGCAAGTCCAAGTGGCAGTACAATGAAATAGTATAACATCCCAATTTATGTATGCCACAGATGATTTGCCAACTCGAACCAACCGCAACACGCAAACACCTAATCTAGAGTCAAATCACTTAACACACAACTGTTGATTACTTGATCCGGTTTGTGATAAACAGAATTGTGTGACGTACCGGAAGAACCGGTTGGACACTGACACACTGTAAAGGCTTAGAGAATTGAGAGATCATTGACTGCTTTTATGACAGATTCACTAGAAGAAAAAATCCAGCCGATTCGATCAATAAGGAAATATGTAAGAGTCATCCAAATCATCAAATAACACTTTCTTATCTTTCCCTCCACGCTCCTGACGAGGATCATTTTTTCGTTTTTGTTGACAGAATGATAGTCTTCTTACTTGTTAGACAAGTATAAGTATTTTCTCCTTCCTTTTCCTTTTCTTTTGCACATATAGAAAGAACGAAATACCTATGAGAAGCTGATTAATAATATATTGTATCAGTATTGTAAGACATTTTCAGTATACTGTAGTTCTCTTAAAGGTTAGTGTAGTTCCTTTTTATTTGATGGATCAGAAAGTTCTGTTTTTGCTTTTTGTGTGATTATCCCTAATGTCCTCAGACAAACAAGAAACGACTCTATTTTTAATTACTTTTTCGTTCAAAATGAACTAAATAATTTTTCCTCAACTTTAGTCAGCTATTTTCATTGAGGTAAAAAGAAATCAGCAAAAAGAGATTTTAGGATAATGAAAAAACAAAATAGAAGTTATATTAAGGAGGAAAGAGTTCATGCATCAAACCATTACAGCTACGAGGAGTAAAAACTTGATCACACCACTGAATTTGACCCCAAATCTTTAGTCCTTGACGTCCTTCCAGCGAAATCTCCGCACACCAAATCTCATATGTTTTTTCTTCAACTTTATTGAAAAACAAAACCAGTTTTCCACCGTATCTCACAGTCTTTGAAAGTAATGAATCTGACGTCTCAGACAACTTGTGACATCCCGACCCGCCCTCTCTTTAGGAACCAGGCGCGGACCGGCGATATCAAACTCCCCCAACCGCCCCTCCCAGTGAACCCAACGCCCTCTCTAGGCACGTGGACCCACCACTGTCCGACAGTCGGGAGTCGTTAGTCTGGAAGGCTCGTAAGACTTGTCTACTGTCCCTGCAATCACCATATGATCTTTCCCCGTGCTTTGTCCTCACTCGCACGGTACCGCAGAGTACTTCTCGGTAGGTCACCCATCCTGAGACTACTCTAGCATCAGCACGCTTAACTTTGGAGTTCTCTCAGCACACTTGACCGGAAAAGATAAGTGCACTTTGTTGACATAGGTAGCCAAATCAATTCTTATAAGCCTTTCCGACTACCTGGAAATCGGGATGTTACAATTCTCCCCGACTTCCAAGGAATTCGTCCCCGAATTCTCCCTTTACCTCCACAGTGCTTGTACCAGGATCGTTCACCCTGTTACGGTGTGAGGCCACATGACGACTCCACACACGAGGTTGGGTGTCGGCTCTGATACCACTTGTGACATCCCGACCCGCCCTCCTTTTAGGAACCAGGCGCGGACCGGCGATATCAATCCTAACTCCCCCCAACCGCTCCTCCCAGTGAGCCCAACGCCTTCTCTAGGCACGTGGGCCCACCACTGTCCGACGGTCGGGAGTCGTTAGTCCGGAAGGTTCGTAAGACTTGTCTACTGTCCCTGCAATCACCACATGATCTTTCCCCGTGCTTTGTCCTCACTCGCACGGTACCGCAGAGTACTTCCCGGTAGGTCACCCATCCTGAGACTACTCCAGCATCAGCACGCTTAACTTTGGAGTTCTCTCAGCACACTTGACCGGAAAAGATAAGTGCACTTTGTTGACATAGGTAGCCAAATCAATTCTTATAAGCCTTTCCGACTACCCGGAAATCGGGATGTTACACAACAACTCTTCCAAACCTTTCACCACACTCCAACACTTTTGCTTTGGATCATAAGCTCTTATCTCGTTCTCGTGCCAATCGTGGTAGTACAATACGTCATCAACTACACACGCATACTTCCACTTCTTAGAATTCAACATCTCGTCCCTTTCCCATTTGCTCTTCTTTGGGTCGTAAACAAAGCTGTAATCATAATCCCTCGTGTATATCTTGTCAGCCATCACCACAGAACGAGACCGAATGTAACCTAGCTCAATCTCTAGGTTTATTAACTCAGACTCCCAGATTTGTGTTTCTGTATTGAACACCAACATCATCTTCTTCCATTCATAATTTCCAACTACGCAGATTCTCCCGTCGATGATGTTAGCGATTGTATCAGACATGGCCACAAGCATGCTGGGGAGAGTTTGCACCGTGTGCGATCTGCAGTCGATGCTTAACGCAATATCCTTTGAGTTAAACCCACCAAACACATGTATCCTCGAACCCACAGCGACAAAGCTTCCACCGTAAGGCATAACGGGAAGCAAAGGGATAAAGACCAAGCGGCGATTGCTGTTGGCTTTCCGGCGGAGAATATACCATTGGCCTTCACCAATTTCGTTGTTATAGAGGACAACATATAGACAGTGTTCGGTGCAACCCAACAAGGATCGTCTTGCGTATAGCTCACGGGATGCAACGAGTGATCGGAAGTGTTTTGAAACAAGGGAGAGTGTTGGATAGTCGCATCTAGGTATACGCCCTAAGATGTCAATGATGACGTCTTCGGGAAGTAACGTAATCAGAGACAACGATTGCTTCGTCTTTGCCCTAATTTTTAAAGACATGTGTGTAGATTTTGGCGAGAGGAATGCAAAACCCTAATTGTACGCCCAAATCAACAATTACCGAGAGAAAGAGAGCAAATATCTCAAGATAAGAGCTAGAGAGATATAGGTGTTGATTGGTTCACCCGCTATGAATCGCAAACGCTGCGTTTGCGGGTAATAGCGGTTAGTGACGTTTTATCACAATCATAGAAATCGCTACAAACCGCTCCGTATCGTTTTTTATACCGCTGAAATCCAAAAGTTGCTTCCTGCTAGCATTTGCGGTTGCAGGCGGTAGCGGTTGAATAAATAAATAAATAAAAAAAAATCACACTAGAAAAAAATAGAAGATCACGTTAAAAACAATTATAAAACCCTAACCCTACTAATTTTCTCCTATATATATAAACTCTAACCTCTCACTTTTTCTATCAAGTTCTAGTCTCTAATCATGGCTTTCATATCAGTTGAAGAAAAGTAAGATACAAACATAAGTGTCATAATACTTTGGTTTAATTCATTTATATTAATTGTTCTGTTTCCACTCTTAAAGTAAGAAATTATAAATATGTATTTTATTAATTACAAAATTAGTTTGTTATAATTCTTTTTTTTTGTTCGTCAGAAAGTTACATGATCAAACGAGATGACATGTGCGTTACTTCAACAGATCATAATTAAAAACAAACTAAATATCAATATTCTAGATTTTTGAGTGCACTTTAGAAAGAATGTATTTTGAAGAATACTAATAAGCAATTTGGAGTTGATTTGAGTTAGGGTCGAACAAAAAAATTAATTATATCAATTGAAGAAATTTTACATCATGCATAAGACAAATCTAAAAGATTCACATATTGGAGCAAACTTTTTCCAGTCTATTACATTAATAGATATATTTTTGGATGATATTCCCAATAATTAAAATAAAATTTATTATTATAATAATTATTTAGTATTTATTTATAATTTTTAGTTTTTAAAATAATTATTTAGTATTTATTTATAATTTTTATTGATTATTTTGAACTAATAATTTTGATATTAATCATAATATATAGTTTTCTGTTTTTATAATGTTTATTTTGGTAATTTTATGTTTAACCGCTAAAACAATCGCTGGATTGCCAATCAAAAATGTCCCGCAAACGGATCCGCTTTAAAAAGTTTAACCAGTCATGCAAACCGCTGAATAATGCTCAAAACCGCAATCGTCCGTTTCCGCAAACTCCCGCACTCGTAACTGCAACCGCTGCGTTTAAACTAGTCAAGCCCATAGAATGCGAAGACGACATTTTTTGTTTTTTTTTGGGTTAAAAACGCAAACTTTTTCCCTTTCTGTTCGAGTTCATTTTTCTTTTTATCTTGGAAATTTTATTTTGTAACTAGGTGAAAGTCCGTGCTACGCGCGGATTGTTTTTTATTTTTGTGTTAACCAAGTTTTTTAATCTGTAACTATTTTTTTATTTAGGTTGAAAGTAACCCTTGTTTAGAGGAAGGTACGATGCAATTTTGTGGTTTAGAAACAGAATTAACTAATTATAATTGTTTATATTTTATTTGAATTTTTTTTTTCAAAGTACATTTTATTGGAATAAGTAGGACCATTGCAAATTTATTTAGCACCGGTATTATAATTTTTTCTGTGTTTATTTAATTTTTTTAAATCTGTATTTTTAATAACCGATTATGTTTCTACCATTTTAGTTCTTTGGTGTTTCCATTAAAATATTACTCCTATTCAAAGTAGTAAAATAAACTAACAAACGTGCATTTTAATGTGGACATGTCTAAAGTATATTTGCTGTTATTTCATATTTGGGTTCGTTATTTTTGTCCTTTAATAACGTCAATGATTAATTTATAGTCAATTGAAGTTTATAAACACTGTTCTGTTTTTTTTTTTGGCTCAGCCTTACGTATCAAATTTATCAAAATATTCATTTTTTTTTGGCTCAGCCTTACGTATCAAATTTATCAAAATATTCATTACTGTTACTTTTTCTTAATCCACTTACACTTGTTGTTGATTGAAAACTGGATACCAAATGTGTAGGTAGTTGTTTTTATTCTAAACCACAGCATAATTTCCTCAGTAATTTTGACTTTTTGAGTGATCGAACTCCATAATTTTTAAAGTGCAGAGATGCCGGTTGTGGTTGTCTTCCTTACGGATATTTTATATTCCTAACTATTTACATATTAACTACGCTTGATGGAAAGACATTTGCCAAGTAAACCATTTGGAAATTTGCCAAGATTTGCTGAATCATTGAAGGGAGAGAAGCCAATACAGTTGCAGCTAAGCTTAAAGACTTCAGGGATAGTGTGGTGAATAGTTTTTTCCACTTTATGAAAATGGAAGTAGTGCACCAGAAATTTGCCACGTAATCCTTGTATATTCCCCTCTCAAATGGGGCAAGGCGAGAGAGAACCTGCGTCATCAACAATGAGCAAGAAAACGAAGGAAACCAATCAGCTATGAGCAATTTACACCAAAGGGGATGAACAATTTCTTACTTCTACCAGATATTATTTTAATTTTTCATTCTCGAGCAATGATCAAACACGTATTTACCATTAGGAAATCGTCCAAAGAATGCAAATATGGCCACCAAACGATAACAAATGTCACTATAACTGCAACTCCAAGCTTTAGGACAGCAAGTATTGGGCTTTTTCCGTCTTAGGCATTTGCCCAGCAGATGGCTGAAAAAGGCAGGAGCAAAGTATGCACTCATCTGCAGCATTCGACAAGGTGAGACAGTATGAGCAAGATATTATAAACTCGAACAGGAATATGAACAAAGGGACGTATCAACAATCCTTTTAGATTAACAATCTATCTATGGCCATATTAACTACACTACTACCTAAACAAATTAAAGATTTTAACGTCTGCGATAGTAACCTGTATACATCACACATTTGTACTCAGATTAGCCAAGGAACTGAATCCATCAGTTTTCAGTCTATTAGATTAGTAAATATCAACAACCGCTTAAGATTAACAATGTTGTATGTCTAAAACATTTTACGGAAATGAAATGATGGATATTATCTATGGCCATGAACACTACACTACTACCTCAAAAAAATTACACATTTTGACATCAAGGTAGTAATTTGAAACCAGTTAGTTTTCAGTCTATGAGATTAGTATAAGCCATTACCTGTCACATTATCTACAAATAACAACATTGAAAACATAAGACTACAGAAAATGGAATCCCAAAAGTTGCCTGTTTATGGCTGAGAGCTAGACTGAACAAAACACAAGTGAGAATTTCGTTCTCATAGAGTACCGCAGCGATAACACCAACTGTATGTCCCAAGCTGATACAATTGTACTAAAACAATCCAAATCCTAATGAGAACAATCACTCAACCAGAGAATGTGGTAATAGAATCGTAATACAAACCTGGAAATGGCCGTGATCAATGAGGATTAAACACGGGTTTAAGAGAAAAATAGCAATATGCCATGCCACTTCACTCTTGGAGCTCCCAGTTCGAGTCTTATGGTACACTAACACGAAAGAGAAAGCAACCGGGAAGAATATGAGAGCATCAGACGATAAAACTGTCCATCTCATCAGGAATTTTCTGCACAAAAAGAAACCAAATTTGACTCCAATTAGCTATCCTAAACACACAACAATCAACAAACGAAGGAGAATTTCGAAACACATATCTAGATTCAACATTTGATCTATGTGAAGATCAGATCACAATAGGAGTTTGTGACGCTTACCCAAGATATGACTCGTGACCACAAGAGCTGAGAAGAGAAACGGACTCAGGATTGAACATTCGGAGGAAAATCCATGGATGTAACTCTGGTAAGCTGTCAATGGATGATAATCGGGTCCCCAGTAACTCAGATCGTTGTAAGTGCCGTTTCTCTACCAATCGATGCTCGGGAGATTTGTGGTTATCTCCATCCAATGTCTCCGAGCTTCAAAATCGCCAAATTTAGGTGGAGTTCCGGCGCCGGAGTATGGGTACATCGAAACAGCAGATCGGATCAGTAATGCGAAGAGGGAGATACAGAGGAAAGAAGTGGTGGTTCCTTTATGTGATAGCCACCACCAGGTAGCGATCGAAGCTCCTGATTGAATCGATACCGGAGCTGCGTTGTCATTGCCGGCAAATTTCACCGGAGTCTTCTTCGGCATATTTGATCCGATCGGTGGCCTTCGATCTAAACAGTTTTGGGGAGTCTCCGGAAGGAAGACGAAGAAAATGTTGATTTTCTAGAGAATGGAGATTTTTTTAGTTATTTAAGAGAGGAATAGACACGTGGCGTCCTTTCCATTGCTGACGTGGCAAGCAGCTGGAGAGAGTTAGCCAACTTTTATATATAACATTATTTTTTCTATTTTACTAATGAAAAAAAAAAAAGAGACCAAGTTACGGAGATCGCTGGATATGAGAAATAAATATTTTATCCACATAAGACCACAGTGAACCATATACAGTATATGGATCAAAACAGAGAAAGAGAATCTATCACAAAGAAGGCAAGACGGGACAATGAAGAGAGTTGATGGGTTAAACAGCTCATGAGTATGGGATTTATTACATTCTAGAGTCAATCAAGTCACCAAGATTTATCAGCGCCTTCGTCAAATTTGCCAGACCCAACAACCCGAAAATCAAGCTGCTTCTGATGCTTTGTTCGTCTTCTTTCATCAAATTCATCCCATCCTTCGAACTGCCACAATCCAAAATCATTTCTTCAGTTTCAAAAACTGAAGAAAGAATCTAAAAACTCAAAAGAAAACAAAACAGGGACTTAAAACAAACAAACCTGTCGGAGAAATTCAACAGTTATCTCTGTGTTATGGAGTCCTAATGTTGAGAGCTGCAAACACATCTTGAACAAAACCGACGGAAGCGTCTTTAGTCCCGTGTTGTTCAGCTCCAGCGTCTTTAAACACCAAAAACACTGTATATTAAGTCTTTGTAACGAAACAAGAGTAGCAGCGAAAGACGATTCGATTTACCTTTAGATTACGCAGTTTGGTGAATGCCTCTGGAAGTTCTGATAGAATATTTGCTGAAAGATCAACCTGCAAAAATTTACACACTTTGACTGTTATTGTTATCTCTCCAAAAACAAAAGTCAAAAGTTCTTGACATAGATCTCTCTGTTTTTTTTTTGTCTTTTACCTCCATGAGGAAGGAGCAGTTTACGATACTCTCAGGAAGGCTCGTTATTCTACAGCATAAAGATGTTAGAATCATCGAAAGGTAACTTTTTATGTATTTTAGGATCACTTATGAAGATTATTTTGCCTGTTATTGTTGGCTTTCAAGATCTCGAGCTGTGTTAAAAGTCCTATCTCATTAGGTAGACTTGTCAACTTGTTGTTTGCGACATCAAGCTGCCTAAGAGACGTCAGTGAACCCACTGCTGATGGCAGGACAGTTAGACTGCAAAACAAACCATTTAATAATCTTGCAAATTCTACCATTGAAGGCGTGTCTAATATCTACTTAAAAAAGTCCAGTGAGTGAAAAGCAATAAACGTACTTGTTATGACTAATGGACAGAAGCATGAGACGCTTCAGAGATGCTATTCCTTCCCACTGAATGGATTCATCGGACAGACCATTTCCTTGAAGAAACAGTTTCTACAAAAGGCACTCATATCATTCTCCATATAAAAGCTCAACAAAACAGAAAATATACATGAATCCATGTGTTTCTCACCTGCATAGATCCAAAAGAGCTGATTCGAGCAGGTACTTCTTCAATGAAGTTTTCGCTGATATCAAGTACTCTGGCTGCAGATCCACACTCCCACACTTCTTCAGGTATAACCTTTTCCAAAATAAATAAATCCACACTCCAATTGAAGGACAAATCCAAACCAAAACCACAGTAATAAACATGTAAGACTTTCTCTATATACCTTCAAATTGGCTTGAGCTAAAGCAATGACTCCTGTGGCTTTCCATCGATCAGTGCGGTTCTTGTCTACAAGGAGACCAGGTTTTGTCTGATCTACTTTATCCGATACAACATTTCTAGAGATTGGCCTTGTACTAGCTGCTTTAAGCACTGGACCTTCCTGCTCAATTTTGAATACTACCACAGCATTAACACAGCTTAACAAGCTGATGTTTCCTCAATTAGATTGATCCTACTAAAGAGCAAGAATCCAAATTTCTAAATATCTTTCTCCTCAATACAAAGATGATTGAATCATAAAAGAAGAACACTGACCCCTTGATGCAGGCCTTGAGAAGCCATTAACATGATTTTCGCTCCATCACTCACCTTAGATTGCTTCAAAGTCGACGTCTCCTCCAAAACCTTACCTTTTTTTTCCAGGAACACAAAAAACGAATTTTGAATAAGACCCATTACAAGTATGTAGCTCGATTAGCGAGTAAAATATTCGATATCTGATCAGAAACCTTTGAAGATGAGTTTCTGGCCACGAGGAAGAACATTGGTGATGGGTTGGAGAAGAAATTTAAGGTCTTTGATTGTAATATCTGGTGATACCGAAAGTGGAATTGATTGGCCTCCGAATTTGATTGTAAGCTTAATGGTGGATCCTGCCATTGTTGGAGCTTCGACCTCCATCACGATTTTACCTCTTGTGATTCTTTTCGGCTTTGCTTCACCTTCAGATTCACTTAATTCCAGAAAACACAACCAGAAGTTCTCATGTCATATTGACTTCCTTTGGGCCCACATAAATATAATACTTTGGCCATAGATTTTAGTATAAGAGAAAAAATGCCAAAATATATTTGAATAAAATCCTCTTTCTCAATGTTATAAGAATGCAAAGTTTTTTGTCTATTTTTTGTTTTTTTTTTGGATCGAAATATTGTCTCAAATTATTTTTAGATAACTATGGTTTCTTTGTAAATGCTATATTGTTGGCATATCAAGGTTTTTAGTTAATTGCATTAATAAAGTCCAAAATTACACGCCTTTTTGGTGCGGCCATGGCTTTGGTAGTAATTAGTAAGCACTCATCAGTAATTGATATCTAAAACATTTGAGTCATTGTCGACAACATTAGCCGAGGAAGAGACCCAATTGTTGAGAATTCTAACAGAAATGTTAACAAGAAACAATGCATATGTTAATCACAGATTTACTTCTAATTTTCGTAAGCCAAATGATATTGCGTGTAAACTAGCAAGAATAAATCAAATGTAAATGTACTTTTTCATCCTGTACACAAGCAGAAATTTTTCAAAGACAATTTCATAAGTATATATGATTATCTATTTATCTATGTATATGATATTAGTATATATTACAAAGGTTCTTTCTCTTTCGTAAACAGATATCTACGTATTATTATTACATACATACAGATTTATATACCCAATAGAAGATCTCAATCCCTCCTGCTTAGCTAGAGTCTTTGAACTTCTGTCTCATCTCTTTCTTTATCCTTCCTTCACATCATCTTCACTATCCACAACTTATATTTATCCATGTACATATATACAAGACAAGGTCCAACCAAACCAGCATCAAACAGCCTCTTGCACAGACCCATATATGCTTCAACATCTCTCGGCCGTTGAATCTTCTTTGTCATTCCTTGCATCACAGCCACTCGATCAATATACTCCGGATACAAACCAGAGTCCATCATCGTTATCAATGTCTCTGCAGCCTCTTCAAAGTGTCCTCCTTTCACGTACCCTCTGAGCAACCATGACAAACTCTTCTTCTTTCCCTTGGATTCCATGAACTCAACCCGTGTCAGAAGCCGCGAGACCGCATTGACCTCTTTTTGTGAAGCACAGATCGCCATTACAATGTCGTGGAGGTCAGCTTCTGGTTCCCTCCCTGTAAGTTTCATATTCCAGAGCTGTTTCTCTGCTTCCGGTCCACGTCCCGCGCATATGTACATACCGAGAAGTCTCTCGTGAACCGCCCCAATAATGGAATCGTTTTGCTGCCCTTCCTGAACCGCCCAAGCAGCCAATTCCAGTCCCCGAGATATGAGTTCTGATTGGTACTTCTCGATGAGTAACCTATCGTGATCATCAATCTCAGCAACAAGACCAGCCCGTGTAAACCGTTTTAACTCGCGTAAGGTTTTCCCAAGGCTGTTTAGCTCTTTCACAATGGCTGTCATCGCAATCAGATAGCTGTAAGCTTCTGGCTTTAGCCCTGAAAATCTTAACTCAACAACCAAATCAACTGCCTTCTTATAGTCTCCATCGACCTGATAGAAACAAAAAGACACAGCCACACATTAACATTGCTAAGAGCGCAAGAACATGACTATAATCATCTTAACCACTTCAAAATCCAACCAAATTCAAAAGATTTCGACAAAGTTATATACTTTACCATCATTTTCCAAGCAAGATAACCAGTTGGTCCTCCTTTTCTACCTTCAGAAACAACAACACTGTAACCAGAAGTATCTCTCCTTCTCAAAACCTCCTTCACAAACAAAACCGCACTTTCTTTCTTCTCCATCTCACAGTACAAAGCAATCACTTTCTCCATCATACTGAAACCAGGTTTCAACCCGACACAATCCATCTCAATCAATAGGTCGAACACCTGGGCTGCATCACACTCCTCTTGTATCAACTTCTTAACCCATCCGCACATTATCGAAACCATTAGCTCCATCATCTCTTCATCAACCCTATTTTCCTTCTTCAACCACTCAAACACTTCGAGAGCGCACCACGAGTCCCTACCTTCTTGTGCAAAGTAGACGAGCATGAGCTGCAATTCTCGAGAAGACAATCGATGATTCATCTCCTCTAGAATGTCCGATGGTTCTCTAGTCATCCTCTCCAATTCCTCAATTGCCTCGAAAAACCCTTGGCCAATTTCATCTGCTTGGTTTTCTTCTTCGCTTGTGATGAATTGGTCTAGCTCCACGGAACGGGATAATCCAAGCTCGCGAAATTTCCCAGCAGCGAAGTTGAATTTCAGATTGCAGCTGATTCGAGAATCGGGTTTGACCCTGTAGTTTCGGTGAAGTCGGGGACGGAAAAAACGGAGTCTCCGGAGAGAAATCGGCGGCGAGAAAGTCAACGAAGCGAAGCCACGAGCATAAGCCATAACTAAGTAGTCTAATCCAATCTAAGAAGAGAAAAATCGAAGAACGGAAAGAAAAAGCTCAAAATTTTCCCGAGAAAGCTTGAAATTCAAACACTCTGAAATTCAAACTCAACGTTTCAAAGATTGTCTTCTGAGTGATTTCTCGATAGACACCATGAGAGTAGAAACTGCGGTAATCCATCAACAAAATCCCTCTTTAAGTCTTACGAGGAAGACAATGAGAGGATAACGAACAGAGAAACGTAAAAAAACAATTTAATTCTTTTGTTTTTTGGTCGCAGGGGTTTATTAAAAATAATTAAGGGTTGAGATTGAGTGGCTACATTTAATCGAACGGTAGTTAATTGAGTCTGTGGTCTCAAGTAGAGGCTACTAAGCGCTTAGCGCTTACGTGTCATGGCGTCAACTTGTTTGTTCATGCCGCTTCAGAGCGCGAGTAGCACAATCATGCAATGACGTTTCTACCATTGGATCTAAGTAGTGGTTGTTGATCTCTCAATTTTCATCCTATAATTTAATTTGAGTGTGAAGATAAAATAAGATATCTGATTATGATGACTTTAACTTGTAAGGTTATAATAACGATTGATTTATGCAGAGGTCTTCGTCGCCGATGCTTGGACGATAAAATTGGAGTTATATTTTGTGGCAAAAATTGTTAGTGAACTGGAGAAAATAAAATATGTAGGCCAAAATCTAAACTAGGGACATGGGGTTATTATTGTTCAAAGTTAAAACGTGGTTAACGAAAAAAGATTTTATTTATGGGTATCTGGGCTAGGCTTTATTAATGTATAAGGCCCTTTAAGAGGTCCAAATATTTACTGTGTTCTTAAATCCTAAGAGAGTATTGGGATTAATTAGTTGGGAACTTGGGATGACTGGCTATAAACGTTTGTTTTAATATATCGACTATACAACAAATTTTGGTTTTCAGAAGTAGTTTGTGAATTAAAAGAATAAAAAAAAACGGCTGAAGTCATACTATTTCTGGTCAGAATTTTGTTAGCTTTATAACAAAAAATTATAGCAGAAAAAGTGGACTATAAATTTTGTTAGGAATACGTTTATATTTGCAAAATTGTTAAAGTTTGATTGGATATAAAGACAGAAAAGAAAATACTTTAAAAGCCTTTGGAGCCTCAAAAACCAATTAATTAAGTAGTAAGGATACTTGAAAAAGCCATTCACAATCTCCCTTGTGTATTTGATCCGAGGTTATTGTTCTCCAATCAGGTTGTGCTCTATATATGTCAAGTATCGTGTAGGCCAGCAATCCTAACCTTAACACTATTAAGAAAAACATTGCATAGACGAGAATAAGTAATCAAATCAATCCCCAAAACCTTTTTCATAAGCTAAAAATAAAAGTGCTAATCTTTATTCACAGTTACGTATTCGTTTTGGCTTTGGTTAGTTAAGTTAGTGAAGATGAAATGATGATTCGTTCTCTACTTCTCTCTCCACTTCCAAACATCTCCCAATCATATTATTGTATAACTGCTTTTGGTCTGCCAACTTTTTTTTAGTATGGTAACGATATTGGTAAGTTCCCCATTTCTCTCCTTCTTCGTCTCTTTTTATATTTTGTGTGTGTGTGTGGATAAAACTCTATTTGTAATTGTTTACCTCAGAGATTAAACTACACTTTAATATAGACATATGAAGCCAGAAATTTTCTACGAATCAATAAAAGCAATTTGCCTTAGGACCATCTTTTTTTGTTACCAAAGTTACTAGTATTGGAAAAGCCAATGAGTAATGAGTTAGCTAACTTTAACAACAAAAAGTGATGAGTTAACTAATTAATAAAGATTTAATTTAGCAATAAAAAAAAACTAATTAATCAAGATTATGTAGTGTGCAAGCTTTATGGATCCCGAAAGCGTCCGACGTGTTGATAGGAGGAGTCATATACTCATATTGCCAAGTGTTTTTGGTCACTCCGATTTCAACGTGACGGCCACACTGAAATCCATTATACTTTGTAGATTCATCCTTCTTGATTTACGCTTTACATTAATTAAAAAGGATACGTTTATAATAGTGTTTGCATTTATATCCATAAATGGTAGCTCAATTGATGGTTGTGAATAAAACTCTTGTACAGTATTTTTATGAATACAAACGCATGATAAAAAGAATCTGGTTATGTTTAAGTTTTTGAACGAACTTTGCATTGATAATAGCAAATAATGCTAACTGAATTCCATCTTTACGATCTGTATCGGCTTCTTTCCATATATAATCAATTAACTATTCACTTAGGAGTCTAAGACCATGAAAAAAAGCGATAGGCATTGCTATATATAATCAAAACCTAAATAAACAGGAGCATGGTTGAAAATTCAACAAATAGTATACTGAAACTTCCAAGCTCATAATCTATAAATAGTTGCATAATTTTTTTAAACAATGCATCTAGCTAATTTAAAATTACTTATCATTTGATCAAACAATAGATAAAGAACGCTTCCACATTTTTGCTCTGAGCTCAGCAAAAAGTGGTTGATGACTCTACAAAAATTGCACTCTTCCATAATAGAAAGTGAGCAAACCGATCCGTTCCAATCATTTTAATTTTACGAATAGACGGACTAGTGATCAAATATATACATTAGCATATCTACAACAAAATGATTTTGTCCTCAATTCTTTTTTTTTTTTTTGTATTGTTGATATTGAAGAATAATAAATGGCAAGGCAAAACTGCATACATAAGTAATGCATGAAAGGGAAAAAACTAAAAAGAAAATTGTAAAGTGGACAAATGAAGCACGACTGTTTACTTCTTCTGTGGAGAGGTTTAGAGATCACTTCTCTAGTCGTTACTAGATATGGACCAAAAATATTTCCACTATATATAGCTATTTCGTTCAAAACTTAATATATATATATATATATAACTCTTTCAAAATATTGTATCTCATTACGCATATCTTGAGTTCTATATTGAGAGATATACTCATATATATCTCGAGATATAGATATTTTCCTATTTGTGTATATTCTCTTAGATTGTCTTTAGCCTTGTATAAATAGAATCCTAGAGGTCAAGAGTAAATAATACAGAACATTCTTTTACATTGATTGATTTTGTCATGGTATCAGAGCACTAAAAACTCTTGATCTCTTCTCTTCGATCCGATTTTCATTACCCTTAGCAAGTTCGTTTTTCTTGTTCGACTTGTTTTTCCTTTAACCTACGATTGTTTTGTTTCACCATGACCGACGAGAACACATCCAAATCAACGACAATGATGGTTCCCGCTGCCGCTTCTGGTGACACAAAACGCCGCACCATCTCACCATATGACCTTTCTGCTGGTGACAACCCAGGGGCTGTTATTTCTCGGCCTCTCTGGACTGGTCAAAACTATGATGAGTGGTCTGCAAGTTTTCGTATGGTCTTGAGTTGCCGGAAGAAATTCGGCTTTGTCGACGGATCCATACCGCGACCTAATAAGGATGACCCTTATTTTGAAGATTGGATGGCTAATAACCATCTAATTGTGACTTGGATGAAGCTTACTATTGAAGATCGACTGCGTTCTAACATATCTCATCGAGAAATTGCAAAAGATCTGTGGGATCTCATTAAGAAACGATTCTCTGTCAAAAGTGGTGCGCGCTATCAACAGCTTCGTGCCTCTTTGGCAAATTGTCGTCAAACGGGATCCACTATTGACGATTACTTTGGTCGTCTTACCAAGATTTGGGATGCTATGCAAGAGTGCAACCCGAGCAAAACCTGTGAGTGCAACAAGTGTGAATGCAACTTGGCTGAAGCAAAAGAAGCCGAAATTGACAGAATTCGGGTTCATGATTTTCTGTTTGGGCTTGATGACATTCACGGCACTGTTCGACAGCAACTCTGTGCACAGACTCCTACTCCCGATCTTGATTCCGTGTATCAGACACTGGTTCAGAACGAAACGGTGATTGCGAATACTCGGAAAGAACCTGAAGCCATGAGCTTTGCGGCTCGTGCGTCTCAACCGGTTCAGCCTTCTCACCAGCCCAATCGTTTTCGCGTCCGAAAGATTTCGCCAACACGATCTGTACCAGCTGCGGTCGCAAAGGACATGAAGCTGCACGGTGCTACCGCACCATCGGATATTCTCCTTGGTGGGGCGATAGACCACGAGGACGACTTGATACTTCTAACGCCTCTTCGTCTATTGCTCCATCTGCTGGCCCCCGCGCGAATACTTCTCAAATTAGTGCAGCTTCGCCCTCTATTCAAGCTAATGTTGCTGCTTTGAGTGATGCTGATAGACAAGGACTCAGTGGATTTACGGATGCACAGTGGGAGACTTTGAAGCGTGTTTTCAAAAATGAGAACACAGAGCGTCTTAGTGGTAAGAATGAAGCTGATTCATGGATATTAGACACAGGTGCCACTCACCATATGACTGGTCGTCTCGACCTCTTTGAGGATCTTCGATCAATTTGCCCTGTGTCTGTTACTTTACCAGCTGGAGATAATGTCTTATCTTACCTCCAGGGCACCATCCGTCTCACCTCTTCTTTATTCTTACACAATGTTTATTTGGTGGACGGTTTTCACACTAATTTGATTTCGTTTGGGCAACTGGTTTCCGATAATCATTGCATTGGTCAGATCACTGATAGACTTGTTGTTTTACAGGACCGCACCACGAGGATGCTGATTGGAGCGGGTGAGCGACATGGTGAGGGACTTTACCACTTCAAAGGGATTGAGACTGTGGCAAGTGTTCAGACGAGCACCGGTACTGATGGAGTTTTGTGGCACCGGCGTTTGGGTCATGCTTCTTCCCGTGTTGTGGGTTTACTACCAGTTTTTAGGAACTCTTCTAGTGTTACTAGTTTACATAAGGATTGTGATGTTTGCTTTCGTGCAAAACAGACTCGACACACGTTTCCGCTTAGTGATAATAAAGCTTTGAGTATTTTTGATTTAATACATTGCGATCTTTGGGATCCGTATCGCACAACAGCTTTTTGCGGATCACGTTACTTTCTGACTATTGTTGATGATTATTCTCGCGCTATTTGGATATATCTTCTACCAGATAAACGAGACGTAGGCACAACTTTGAAACAGTTCTTCTCTTTGGTCTTGCGACAATTTGGCAAAAGTGTAAAGACTGTTAGAAGCGACAATGTCACTGAGTTTCTGGCTTTGACAAGCTATTTTCGCGACAATGGGGTCATTCATGAAACTTCCTGCATCTATACTCCGCAGCAGAACGGACGTGTGGAAAGAAAGCAGAGGCATATTCTCAACGTTGCCCGCGCTTTACGCTTTCAAGCAAGTCTGCCCATTGAGTTCTGGGGTGAGTGTGTGCTTACGACAGGCTACCTTATAAATTGAACACCATCTCAGGTTCTTCATGGAAAGACGCCTTTCGAAATTCTTTACGATCGACCTCCGGAGTTCACACACCTACGAGTATTTGGATGCTTGTGCTATGCACATAACATCAATCATCATGGAGACAAATTTGAAAGTCGAAGCAGAAAGTGTCTCTTCATTGGCTATCCATACGGGAAGAAAGGGTGGCGTCTTTACGACTTGGAGAACGAAATTTTCTTTGTTTCCCGCGACGTGGTATTTTGTGAAACAGAGTTTCCCTACTCTGCTGTCACAGCTCCTTTGGTTCCTGATCAGGTCTCTTCACCAGCCATTAATCCTTACTGTTATGATGATGACTTTGATCAGGTTGCTGATATTTCGTCTGAAGTCTTACCCACGACAACTGCAGTCAAACAAGTTCATGCACCCGTCGGAGATACCTCAGATTCAGTTGACATCGCCCCTGATCCTGTTCCTCTAATCTCCGCTGATTCGAGTCCTGTCTCAGCTGTTGATGACGATTCTTTTGTTGATCAGTCTGAGCCTGAGCCCGAGCCACTTGGACGTGGTTATCGCAAGAAAACCAGATCCTCTAAACTTGCTGATTTTGTCGTCAACACAGTCTCAGTCTCTTGTCCTTCGCCTAGCTCTTCCGACTCGTCAGCACCCTCAGGTACGGCCTATCCTCTCTCCGACTTTCTTACTTGTGATCGGTTTTCTTCTTCGCATCGCAGTTTTCTAGTGGCTATCACTACGGCTGTCGAACCACACTCTTTTAAAGAGGCAATGGAGTACGAGGTTTGGAGAGATTCTATGGGGAATGAGTATACTGCTCTTGAAGACAATCATACTTGGGATCTTGAACATTTACCACCAGGAAAGAAGGCACTTGGCTGCAAATGGGTTTATCGGATTAAACACAAGTCCGATGGAACTATTGAACGGTATAACTCGCGTCTCGTCGTTTTGGGTAATAATCAAGTTGAAGGTATCGATTACAACGAGACGTTTGCTCCTGTTGCAAAAATGGATACTGTTCGCATTTTTCTGGATCTTGCAGCTAAAAGAAATTATGAGGTGCATCAGATGGATGTGCACAATGCTTTCTTGCATGGAGATCTTAAAGAAGAAGTTTGGATGAAGCTTCCTCCTAGTTTTGGATCTCCTGGTGAGACTCGCGTTTGTCGACTTCGAAAATCCCTTTATGGCTTACGCCAAGCTCCTAGATGCTGGTTTGCAAAGCTGAATAGTGCTTTACGAGATTATGGCTTCAAGCAGTCTAAAAAGGACTATTCTCTCTTCAGTTTCATACGGTCGGATGTCAGTATTTATGTTTTAGTATATGTCGATGACCTTATTATCTCCGGTAGCACTGTTGAAGTCATTCAAAAGTTCAAGGACTATTTGTCATCATGTTTTCATATGAAGGATCTTGGACTTCTCAAGTATTTTCTGAGCATAGAGGTTGCGCGGAGCCCTGCTGGGATTTATCTGTGTCAAAGGAAATATGCGCTTGATATTTTAACGGAAGCTGGACTTCTTGGTTGTAAACCGGCTGGTGCACCCATCGATCAGAACCATCAGCTCGGTCTTGCTTCTGGCCCTGACATTTCTAACCCTTCTCGTTATCGGCGTCTTGTTGGGAAGCTAATATACCTTGGAGTAACCCGCCCTGATCTGGCTTACACTATTCACCTTCTCTCTCAGTTTATGCAACATCTGAAGGAGGATCATTGGCAAGCTGCTCTCAAGGCTCTTCGGTATCTTAAAGGGACATTGGGTCAAGGCATATTACTTCGCGCCAACTCTCCTCTTCATCTTACGATTTGGTGCGACTCCGACTGGGCTGGGTGTCCGATGACGCGAAAATCTTTGTCCGCCTGGATTGTCCAATTAGGTGATTCTCTTGTTTGTTGGAAGACTTCTCAGCAGAAAGTCGTATCGCGTTCTTCTACTGAGGCTGAGTACCGGGCTATGGTGGATGCTACCTCTGAAAGCAAGTTTTTAAAGGAGTTGCTTCTTGATTTTGGCATTGATCACAAGGAGCCTATGACTCTATACTGCGACAGCAAGTCTGCTCTTCATATTAGTGAAAATCCAGTTTTCATAAACGCACAAAGCATATTGAGTCTGACTGCCATTTTGTTCGAGATGACATTCAAGCTGGAATTATTCAAACTGCTCATGTCTCTACCAAAACGCAGCTCGCAGACATTTTGACAAAGGCTTTAGGACGTCGTGAATTTGATGCTTTTCTCTCCAAGTTGGGCATTCTTAATCTCCATGCTCCAACTTGAAGGGGGGTATTGAGAGATATACTCATATTTCGAAATATAGATATTTTTCTATTTGGGTATATTCTATTAGATTGTCTTTAGCCTTATATAAATAGAACCCTAGAGGTCAAAAGTAAATAATACTGAACATTCTTTCATTCTTTCATTCTTTCACATTGATCGATTTTGTCATTCTATAAATCGGTTGTTTAGGTATTTCAGCATCCACCTAAATCGTCTGGCGTATGTCCAAGCGGCTAAAACTATCCAAGTGCTACCATTTATACCAATTCGGTCAAAAATTCGGCTCATAAAAGTTTAACAATTTGTTTGTCTAGACGTCCAATTAAACTGCCGATTAATATTTATACTAAAATTTTAAATTTGATATTCTATATTTTACTTTTGCATGATTAATTCAAAAGATATATGTGAAAAATAAGTGTCTGAATAATCATCTCTTAATTGACTAGATAAAATCTGTTCGAACATCCCACTAACGTCTCTTTTTTTTTTAACATTGCGTATATCTTTTATTATTTGTGATTGCGCATATCTAACATGTTAGTCATATAAAATGTTCTTTTAGAAGGGAAAAACTTTAATCTTCGAACAATTAATATCTGTTAAAAAATTGAGTCAAAGTATGTGGGACTTACATACCCTAAGGCCTAAGTTAGAAGGCAGGACCAACATTTACATTGCGCGCATAGTAGTAGCCTAGTAGGTTCTACTGATGGTATTTAAGATTTTCCTAAAAACAAACCTCATAGTAAAACAGTTCGGTTGATAAAAAAAAAAAGTAAATCAGTTCGGTAACAGTTCAAGTTTATTTAAAACATTTTTATTATAAAAAAATTACTTAAAACTAACTTTAAATTTTTGTTTTAAAATAATATTATATGTTTTATTTAGTTATAAGAAATATGAAAATATACTTTTGGTAGATTAAGCGACATGTTTCTCAAAGCTATCATTGCTATATTTTGCCAAATTTCGTTGCAGTTATTGCACGAGGACCAAAGTTTAATTTCTATCAAAATTTTAATGTTACTTTGCAAAAGACATCGTCAGAAAATTTAGCGATAGCATATTATTGATAAGTTTTTATATCTAATGATGATTTTATTCGATCGTTTTTTTTTGTATTTTCCAAATTGAGCCGGCGGCATAATCTAGCTTCCTAGAATCAATTAAACTATCAATTTTGATATTTTTTAAAAAAATTTACAAGCAATAATGAGCTATCTCTTTTTTTAGTCATCCGCATAGTTACTTAACTTCTATGTTGTGTGTATGTATATATTAGAGATAATTTCCTTTTCCTTCAAAGCAAGATATTAAAACAATTATATAGTTGGTCAACTAGTTAAAAAATATGAATATAAGATATATATTCAATATTATTAGTAAAATTTAGTAAATTAAACTTTTTAGATTACTAAAATCTGTGGTAATTAAATACCATAAATAGTTCAGACCCAAAAAGGGTGTCAAAGGATGTGATTGGATTAAAACTTCAAACATATTTAGATATTGGACATATCATTAATTAGATAAACGTGAAGATTCCTCAATAAATAAATATATTAAAAAAAAGATAAACGTGGGAGTTTACAAGCTCTATAATAGTCCGCAATATAACATAGGCTTGGGTCTTCTCCTCGTATGAACTGTTTATACCTCTTTTCATTTCATTTTTGCTTTATACATTTTACATATAAATAGAAGAGAGAGAGATTGTGTGAAAATGGTGGGGCAATGGAAGGAAGAAGATGATGAAGAGGTGGTGATCAGATGCTACGATGATCGTAGGGACAGAATTGAAATGGAGTGTGTGGAGAGAAGTTGTGAGATTGGTCACGACCAAACTTTTCTCTTCACAGACAGTTTAGGCGATCCCATATGCAGAATCCGAAACACTCCTCTCTTCACTATGCTGGTTAATTTCTCTCTATTTCCCTCTCTTCATATCTTCTTCTCTAATTAGTTATTCCTTGTTTTATATAAAATTTAACGAATTAAATATTTATTACATAAGTCTATATACTTTATTTAATATGTGTACAGTTTTTCAAAAGACATTTCTGATTTATGTGAAGTAGGGATTACATATATAACTTTATATATTATGTATTAATATCATATATAATTGTTGTTTCTAGCTACAGAAATTAAAACATATACATATGGCCAACATGCATGGGTTTGATGAATTGTAGATGTGCCAATTTCCGTATGCATATGTGTTATAACAGATCCAAAATAATTAGTTCAGTATTTGATTCATATAAATAACGTTTATTAAATTAGTGAACGTTAATTAATAGGTGGCACAAGTTGGGAACAAGCTGGTGGGTTCCATACAAGGCTCAGTAAAGCCAGTGGAGTTTCATGATAAGTCAGTGAAAGTGGGTTACGTTCTTGGTCTCAGAGTCGTGCCGCAGTATCGACGCAGTGGCATTGGTTCGACACTAGTGAGAAAGCTTGAGGAATGGTTCGTGGCTCACAATGCTGACTATGCTTACATGGCCACCCAAAAGGACAATGAGGCATCTCTTGGCCTCTTTGTCGGTAGACTTGGCTATGTCGTCTTCAGAAACCCGGCAATCTTGGTCAATCCGGTCAACCCCGGTCGCGGTTTGAAACTGCCTTCCGATATCGAAATAAAGAAGCTAAAGGTGATTTTACTACACATTGCATTAGTTTCGAAAAAAATTATTGTGTGAAATATTTCTCTTTTATTTTCTAACAATATCATAAGAAAATTAAGCGCGCCGGTTTCAACCGGTTAAACCAACTGGATATCTTTTGAGATTTCTTTTTTGAAATGTTGGATATATACGAAAACTAAGAATAGTCGTCACGATTGTTTAAATAAATCCATTACACATAAAAACATTAATAATATAACGTAAAAGCTAAGAGATAAGTTATATGGTCGTTTACATTTACATTTTCCAAGTTGATTTACCCAAAAAAAAATCATCACTTATAATGTGGGCTTAAGCAAACACAACCAGAAAATTGTATGGCATAAAGTTAACCAACTTTTTTTTAAAAAAAAAAAAGTTAAATAACTTAAGTAGGCTCACATGGAAAAGATCAACATTAATATCAATTCTTTAAGTGACAGGTGAAAGAAGCTGCATCATGGTACCAGAGACATGTGGCATCAACAACAGAATTTTTCCCTAAGGACATAGAGAAAATCTTGCGGAACAAGTTAAGTATCGGGACATGGGTGGCTTATTACAACAACAACGACAACACCGGAAGTTGGGCCATGCTTAGTGTGTGGGACAGTAGCAAAGTCTTTAAACTTAGGATCGAAAAAGCTCCTTTGAGCTATTTGCTTCTCACCAAAGTTTGCAACTATCTCGGTAGATTCTTCCCGTTCTTGGGTTTAACGGCGTTACCTGATCTGTTTAACTCGTTTGGTTTTTATTTCCTTTACGGCGTTCACGCGGAAGGTCCGTTACGTGGGAAACTCGTTAGGGCTTTGTGTGAGCACGTTCATAACATGGCTGCGTTGGACGATGGTGGCGCGTGTAAAGTCGTGGTCGTAGAGGTCGATGGAGAACGCGACGGCGATGATGATTCTCTGAGGAGATGTGTTCCGCATTGGAAAATGCTTTCGTGTGATGATGATACATGGTGCATCAAACCGTTGAGATGTGATGAGAAGATGTCCGGTTTGAGTGAGGTTACAAAAATGTTATTGAGTTCAAAATCTCGGTCTCTCTTTGTGGATCCAAGAGATGTGTAGCTAAGCTAGCCAAAGAAATTGATTTGCGTGGTTGACTAATAATATATCGAAATAATTTCACTATTTTGTAAGGATAGTGATAGAAGTATTAAAGAAATGACTATAATTTAGTTAAAATATGATTTTTTGTGTTGATTATGTTGTTCCGTATTATTATGGAACGGAACCTAATTGTTTTAAATACATTCAATCAAATGCTAAAAGCTTTTGAATGTCAACCGCCAAATGCCCAACTGTCGAACCGTACAAAATCAACGGTCGTGTCAACAAACTACAATCAAACCTTAGACTCACAAAACGTTAAGACAATAAATCTATGAATCCATGACATGTTGTGGGGTTTGAGTTTGCATTTTGTTTGGCATGACATAGCGAGAGAAATGAACCCTACATAAACTGTTATATAATTATCATTTTCGTGTCTTGTTTCGAGAACTAATGTACGATAGTTTAGGTAAATCATCGTTCTCCATAGAATTAAAATCTTAAAAAGATTTCCTCAAGTAGGTGCCACCATTTGTTGTCCTTGGCATTCTTCCTATCTAGTTTGAGAGCTATATTTTAAAAGTAGTTAAAGAATAGTCATTTTCCATATGGGTTTTATTTAATGAATAAACTTTGTTTTGAATCAGATTGTTATCGTAAATTTGTAATGTACACATCTCATTATTGTATGAAATCAATACGAAGGAGATTGGTCGTGCCGGTTATGTGGTCCTTCATGTTCCCTTTATATTAGGTTCAAGACCAGATTTTTATTGTTGGCCCGTCCTTTAATTTAAAGATACATATAACTCATTTCCTGATAAGTCGAATATCTCCATGTGATATGCATACGGCTCGCACAAATTTATGTACAGTTATATGTATATATTTAGTCTTACTAAATTGAGTGGAAGAAATTGTTGTTGAAGTTTTTTTTATTTCCTTTTGTTTTCTTTTGACGGAAATGAGTGGTAATTAAAAAATATGTCATACAGCCAAGTGAGCTTTAGCAGAGCTCAGTAATATATACACACAGTAACAGTTTTATTATAGCCAATACTTAAAAAAAATCATATAAAATTATATTTTCGAATTTATATCTTACATTTTTCCATAGTTTACCATCTTCATTAATAGTTAGGATCATTTTTAACTTAACACACCTTCATGGATGATATGGTGGGTAAATTCAATTATTGTATATTTGGAGTATGTATTTAATCCACGGTATAGGAGATCCCTTAAATTTCATTTTCTAGCGACCCAATAACACATGAATGACGACAAATATAATGAGCTGATGAATATATTGGAGTGAAACAAAGAAAAAAAGTTATTGAAAGAGAATTCAAAGAATGAAATTGAATTACATATCATGATGTCCCTAAATCTAACGTGTTAGGAAAATGTCAACTTCATTAGCCAGCCATCTGCTCTGATGCAATGTTTTTGAATTGATAACATATCTAAGGAAATGCTGATCAATCAATTTACAGAAAATCACTAATTTTCCGTGGATATGAAATATTAATCATCACCCAATCGCTCATCACTTGTGTATGTGTGGGAGGCTGCAAATCAGTAGTCAATCCGAATACCCTTGAAAGGATATAACAGTCCAGAGTTAGGTGTTGATGTCCTCTTGCCGAACAAGGAAGCTGAGTGTACTTTGTATACCCCTTCTTTCTGCGTAAGTCAGAACCAATTATTGGATCATTTTTCTCATTTTGATTTTAGTTTTCAAATAGTTTTGGGATTACACGAATAATAAGTACGTACATTCGCCAAGTGTTGTTAATTAACTCCATTAGCAAATATTAAGACAAAATTAGAGATTAAAAGATTGTGTGCCACTTGGGACGAAACATCTAATATATTTTGATTCCGCGCGTCAGTAGAATACATAAACCTTGGCTTAAAAGATTTTACTCATCAAAAACTGATAATAAATGTGTTCTCTACATAAATTTTTTTTTCTCTAAATATGTTGTATTCACTTTTTGGTGCCCTCATAGGACATCTTTTGAAGGATACAATAAAGTTTGGTTTTAAAGAGAAAATCTAAGAAATAAAATGAAAAACATTACATATTACCTATACATAGATTTCAAGAGTGCAAGCCAGAAGAAATAGTTGAAGCTACCTTCCAATAGATGATGGAGAGAATTGGATAAATTCAAACCAAGTCATGAGGTTAGAGACTTGGTTTAGAGTCAAAGGTATTTGAGTAATGCCCCGAGGATGACAGACCAGAGTGTAATAACAAGCGATACCGGACGAGTAGGAGATCTAATATATTTTGATTCCGCGCGTAAGTAGAATACACAAACCTTGGCTTAGAAATTTTTACTCATCAAAAACTGATAATAAATGTGTTCTCTACATAAATTTGTTTTCTTTAAATCTGTTGTATTCACTTTTTGGTGCCCTCATAGGACATCTTTTGGAGGATACAATAAAGTTTGGTTTTAAAGAGAAAATCTAAGAAATGAAATGAAAAACATTACATATTACCTATACATAGATTTCAAGAGTGCAAGCCAGAAGAAATAGTTGAAGCTACCTTCGAATAGATGAATGGAGAGAATTGGATAAATTCAAACCAAGTCATGAGGTTAGAGACTTGGTTTAGAGTCAAAGGTATTTGAGTAATGCCCCGAGGATGACAGACCAGAGTGTAATAACAAGCGATACCGGACGAGTAGGAGCAAGGTGGTAACGCTCATTCCTCTCTCACCATAATTCATAAACCACTGGAGGATCATTTAACAAATAACAGTCTAGCTTTTTTGATCTTAATGTTGATTTGACCCATAAGACAATGCTCTCTACATCTATTCTATTAAAACATAAGCACATTTAGCGATTGCATCCAAACACTCCCAAAGTTTTTTTTATAATATTTTATTTTAGTTTTATTTTTAATTTCTAAAAATTAGTTATTAATTTAGATATTTTTAGATTTCCTAAAATCTAGGTCATCTTTCATTTAAATTTCAAATTATTAGAAATTTAATTAAATTTAGTTACAAAAATTTGCATTCAATTTAATTTAAATTCAAAAAATTCAAAAAAAAATTATAATTAAATTTTATTACGAAAATTTAGATAATAATTTTAATACTTTAGAATTTCTTAAATACAGGAAAGATTTAATTTAAAATTTTAAATTTAAATAATATTTTTATAAAAATGCATATTTTATCATAAACAATCGGTCTAAAATATCAAATATTTGAGATTAATAAATATTTATATTATACAATAATATGATCGAGCTGATTAGAGTTATATATATATATATATTTAAGGTCCATGAGTTAATTTATTAAAACATATAAGATATTAAGATGATTTGAGACAATTAAACTAACAGGTTAGCCCGTTTATATATATATATATATACACATTTTTTTAATAGCACAAATAGTAAATAAATATCTTATTATATTTTTTCCATAATCAATTGGTCCAAATATTCCACATTAGTAAATATTTATAGGGTTATACAATTATAATTATAGTCTTATACGGGTTAGTTTGTCAAAACATGTAAGATATTTAAAATGATTTAAGACAACTAAACGGATGGATTAACAAATTCATAGATATATGATTGTTTATGTGTAAATCTAAATTCACATAATAACAAAGTTTATAATTAACATTAGATCAATGTATACTTAATTAACGTATACTCTTATTCTACTAATATACAAATTTTACTGTTTAAAATTAAAATATGATAACAATTTTTTGATTTAAAAAAATAAATAACAAAAATAAATTATATCTAAACAAAAAAGATAAATGCAACTTATATCAGAAATAAAAAATAAAACATTCCCGTGCGGACGCACAGGGTTAAAATCTAGTAACTTTTAAAGTACATAACATTGTACATATAGGTATTCGAGAATGGACTACCAAAATACCAAAATTCTCATATGCTACAGAATATTTTTGACATATTAGATAGATTAGTTTGAGCACTTCTTTTTTAGTTTTTACAATGCAATCATATATATCAAAAAATTAGTCACAAAAAATGTTGTTTCTATATTGTCAAAAGTCAAAACTACACTTAATTTGAAAACTAACTAGGAACTATGTTTGCTTTGCTGTTGACCCAAATTGATGATTATCCCCATTGGGCTTTATATGTTTAAAAGTAAAAGCTTATTGGTTGGGATTTGGGAAAGGTCCATAGGAGGGACGTTGTTCAACACACAAAAGAGGAAAAAGAACACGTCTTAGACTCGTAGTCGAAACTTCTCAAAGCACAAAAGATTTGGGCTTCAGCCATATTAGGCCTGTCACGGGCCCATGATTAGCTAAAAGTTAGCACATTTAGCAAAGAGTAGAAGAAGTAATCTAATCTCAGTCGTCTCACATGTCGTCGTCTTCTTCCTCTAAGAAAGCAAAAGAGAAACACGATGGAAACAAAAGAGAGCCAAAAACAATAGAATAAAATACAAAACAAAAAGAAAGCAAAGATAATTTTTTTCCTTTTTTAAGTTTTTGCAATTTAGACGAAAAAAAAAAAAAAAAAGTTTTTAGCAATTTGATGGAAATTGGAAGTCTTACTCAACAACGCACTTTCTTTAACAACCGTTTTTTGACGTGGTAAGTGGGTCCTACAAAAGAAAAACTCTCATGTTCTTATTGAATAAACTTCTATTACTATCGTGATCCGCGCACTAGCCGATTCCAATCTCTCTCTTGTTCTTCTTCTTCATTTCACGGTTGGTCTCAACTTCTTCCACAATCAATCATGGCTTCTTGCGTCAGCGGAACAGAGGCGGCGATAAGAGCTGCGGCATGTAGAGACGGAGAAGCAGCGGCTCATCTAAAGCTAATCTCCGTCTTCGTCATCTTCCTCACTAGCGTTTTCGGGATCTCTGCTCCTGTTCTCCTCGCTCGTTACTTCCACGGGAAGCCTCTCTACGATAAAGCAATCCTCGTCATAAAATGTTTCGCCGCCGGCGTGATTCTCTCCACGTCGCTCGTCCACGTCTTGCCGGAAGCGTTCGAGTCGCTCGCCGATTGCCAGGTGTCATCTCGGCATCCGTGGAGAGATTTTCCGTTCGCCGGTTTGGTGACTATGATCGGAGCTATAACGGCTTTGTTGGTTGATTTAACGGCGAGCGAACATATGGGACACGGTGGTGGTGGTGGTGGCGGCGGAGGAATGGAGTATATACCGGTGGCTGCGGCGGTTGGGGGTTTGGAGATGAAGGAAGGGAAGTTTGGGGCTGATTTGGAAATACAAGAAAATAGTGAGGAGGAAAAAGTGAGGATGAAACAGAGATTAGTGTCTCAAGTTCTTGAGATTGGGATTATATTTCACTCGGTTATAATTGGTGTAACCATGGGAATGTCACAGAATCAGTGTACCATTAGACCTTTGGTCGCTGCTCTTTCGTTTCATCAGATTTTCGAAGGCTTAGGACTTGGTGGTTGCATCGCTCAGGTCAGTTTCTTTCTAATTCAATTTTTTTTTTTTGAATTTACTCTAATTAATGCGAATTTACTTCTAAGAGTTGAAACTATTAGTCAAACATTAATTATACCGGGGAAACAGATACATAATCTAACTAGAGATGCTGAAGAATTATATTGTTGGATGGATGTTGACATTTTTCCATAGCACATTATGTCAACATTCTCACTAGAGAAGATGTCCCCAAAAAAACAAAAAAACAAAACAAAAGAAACTAGAGATGTTGATTAATTCCGGTTTAACTGACCAAACCGAAACTGTACCAGAAACTCGAAACCGACCTAAGAGAAAAATAACTGTTAAATCTCTTTAAAAAAATATTATATGTTAAATGTAATTTTTTAGTACTCGTATACTATAGATGATTAAGTATTGTATAACCTGTGTTATAAACATTGTAATAACTGTTCCTTCAGAAACATCCGATAAAATTGGAACGATAGAGAAAATATTAACATGGTGTTGCACAAATCAAAAAATGGTCCAACTTTCATTGTAATAACTGCAATGATAATGTGATTCTAAGAACTTAAACTATATTCGATTACACGATGTTCTGATCATATTAATATGATATATGAACCAAAACATTTAGTGGATTTCATGGATATTTACCAACATAGTTTTTTCTATAGCATAATGTGAAGAATAACTTAGGATTAAGCAGAGTGATATGGTTGGTTTTGACATTTTCTTTTATTCAGGCCGGGTTTAAGGCAGGGACATTGGTGTATATGTGCTTGATGTTCGCGGTAACGACGCCTCTCGGGATAATACTAGGGATGATGATTTTCGCAGCGACGGGTTACGATGACAATAACCCGAACGCATTGATAATGGAAGGTTTATTAGGATCACTCTCTTCAGGGATTCTAATATACATGGCTTTAGTTGACCTAATCGCATTGGATTTCTTCCACAACAAGATGTTGACGACGACCGGTGAATCCGGTTCCAGGCTTAAGAAACTCTGTTTTGTGGCTTTGGTTTTGGGTTCTGCCTCCATGTCACTTCTTGCTCTGTGGGCTTAAGACACAAAATTGGAGTTGTTATACTGTTATATACCAATTTGGCCATAGGAAGTGTATAACTCTGTTTTTGAACATATTTGACTTCTGTTTACTTTATATATAAGCAATCTATTCCACAAGTAACTAAAAATTTTACAAAACTATCATTTCTTGGGCTTGATTCATTAACTGTTTAGTATATTTACACATTAAAACTCTCTGTTAAAAACAAATAAAAACGAAAATTAGATATCTCTCTCTCTCTACCCTATACTGACTGTATCTTCTTTCTGTTAAAATTCTAACATCTTTCTCTTCTTTAGACGTAATAAACCATTCCAACTTCAAGAAGAGAAGTATGAGGAACATTAAGCACAGTATCTGTTCCTCTGCAATTCGTGCTCATAAACGCAAACACAACATTCACTGCAAATTTCTTCAACATCGAAGAAGATTGCTTCGCCTTTGCATAAGAATGTCCCAATATATACGCAACTCCTGCTTCTTTCGCTTCCATTATCTCCCTACACTCCTCCTTCACATTCGTCCCTTCCTCTTCGAGTCCCGGTTCGGTTTCGACGAACTCGGCAATCGCAGACACTAACCGGCTTTCGAAATCATACATTTCTCTCGGAACATCTCTGTAACCATACCTAACCACACTTCTAAACATCCCATACTCTTTAGGACCAACTCTGCTTATCACAAACCTCTCTTCTTCTCCAATGTAAGGAACCTGAACAGACTTCACGCATACAAACACAAGAATCCGGTGAAAAGCAGGTAAGTTCGTCACGAAATGTCCGAACACAGCAGGAACTCCTGTCACGAGATTCGTGTAGACCAATCCTATCCCTGGAACTCTCACCATTCCAATACTCGGTCCTAGTGCGATGATCCGGTCCATCGAGACCTTGTTCTCGACATCAAACTCATGTTTCTTTGTAGTTCCGTAGTTCCAGATGTACATAACCGCCATGAACGTTAAGGAGAGGAGGATCGGGATCCAGCCTCCTTCTGGTATCTTGTAGACACACGCAGAGAAATAGAGAAGCTCGATGGAACCGAAACAGAGCAAGAAAGCAAGAACTGTGATGATCCTCTGTTTCCAGACAATTGTCATCACTAAGGTCATTAAACATGTAGTCACAAGCATCACAGAGGTCACAGCAAGTCCTGCAGAGACAAAAACAGATTAAAACTTAAGAAAATTTTTAAACTTTTGAAGAGTTATGTTAATTGATCATGGTATTTAGTACCGTAGGCGTGGCCAATCATGTTAGTGTCTCTTAACCCGATTGTAACAGCCAAGCAAAGGCACATTAACATCCAGTTCACTTCAGGGATATAGATTTGTCCATGGATCTTGCTTGAAGTGTGAATGATCTTGACCCGAGGGAAGCAATCAAGGGCACAACATTGGCTTATGATAGAAAACGTTGCGGATATGACAGCTTGGCTTCCAACCACAGCTGCAAATGTAGCCACGATGAACACTGGCCAGAACACAGGCTCTGCAGAAAATAATCTTATTGAGTTTCATCACACTGAAAAATATCGAAAAAGTTTTTAACTTTAAATGATGACTGTGAAGTTTGTTTTTTACCGGGTATCGCCTTGTAGAAGCTTCTCTGGATGTCCTCATGGTTTTTAGAGAGAAACGCAGCTTCACCCATGTAAGCAAGAATCAAACACGGGTATACAAAGAACGAGAAAGCCACCTGATTTTTGATTTTACGCAGCATTCTTGTTTTAGTAAAAGAGGATATGTTTGCATTTTAATCATAATCTTGTAAGCTTAAAGGTATTACCTTTATGGACAGGGAAGAGAAGTGACCTAAGTCAGCAAACATAGTCTCAACACCTGAGGAGGAGAAAGAACACAATAGAATCAAGAACATTATCAAATGAGTTTGAGGTCTTGAAAAGAAACATACTTACCAGTAATAGAAAGAACAACTCCACCAAGTGAAACCCAGCCTTCTACGCCTGTGCTTCTAAGGAACTTATACATGTAAACAGGTGAAAGCGCAGAGACTATACGCGGATTCCATTTTATAGTATTGTAAACTCCAATGCTGCTTATTGAGAGAAGCCAAGCAGTGGAGATTGGAGCGAAAATGAAGGCGACTCTATGCGTACCATAACGCTGGACTGAGAATATCGCCACCAAGATGATACATGAGATGATCACAACGTAATCTACAAATTGAAGACAAGAGAAACAAATCTAGACATTAGAGCTTTTGGAATATATATATTTTCAAAGTAAGTAAAGCAGATTCAGACATACTCTCGTGAAGTTCGGGAATCTTGAGCTTGACTCCTGAAACAGCTGAAAGAACTGCAAGAAACGATATTAATCTAAAAGAACACTTTTTCAATCACAGAGAAGTTTATCTGGAAGACTCACCTGAGATTGTTGGAGTGAGGACACTATCACCAATGGCCATACATGTCCCTAAAAGCACAAAGATCAACAAACACTTTTGAGATTTCGGGTGTTTCTCAAAGAATGATTTAACCGCCGCACTCTGCCGAGTCTCTCCGGGGCTTCCCATGGCATATGTTGATAGTTTCTCATCCATTTCTTGATGATTTGGTAATATTCTTAGCTTGGCATACCTGCAGAGAAGCGAGTACAACGCAAAGGTTCCACCTTCAAAAACAATCAAAGCACGCGATCGATCAATATCAAAAAAAATAAGAAGACACTTCACATCCTTTTCACTGTTACAAACCCAAGGCTTAAAACATTTTTACCTTCTCCATTGTCATCTGCTGATAGAACAATGAAAACGTATTTGAAGAGAGCAATGAGTGTGAATGTCCAGAAGATGAAAGAGAACACTCCAAAGATCTCTTCATCGTTTTCATGGAGGCTTAGTTTTCCAGAGAAAGTGGTCTTGTAAACATAGAGAGGAGATGTGCTAAGATCGCCATAGATCACTCCAAGGCTTTGGTAAGCCAAAGTGAGAACATTGGCACAAGAAACAGCCTTCAAGTGCTGAAACATTTAACAAAAGTTATGAATTTTAATCACAAGATTATGTATAGAGTTAACATTTAAAAACCAATAACAAAGGAATATTATTATACCCTACTTAAGAATGAGTTTTCATCCCAGAATCCCATCTATAACCTAAATTTAACCACATAACCTAGTTTAATATACTTGGAACCTTTTATAATCAGAGTAAGAGTTCTGTTCCATGAGGTGTAAAACTACAAAAGTCTGGAGTTTTCTCACCCAACTCATCTCTTTCCTAATAAATACTGACTTTTTATCTCAAAATAATTTCTCCTGCCCAGTTACATTTATATTCATAATTAGAAGTTTCAATTTCACAAGCCAATCAATTAACTTGTGAATTTAACAACTTATCTAATTTCACCAAATATGAATAAGCGTTCACGTCTTTTTTTAATATTTGTTATGGTAAATACCAAAATCGATATGGTTAAGCAGGAGGACCTACCAGTCCTACTTGGGAAACAATCCAAAACTTATAAAAATGAAGAAAAAAAACAGAGCAAAAAAATACAGAGAAAACATTTAAAACCTTTTGCTTTCACTTGTTCGTCTTCCAGATACGAAACCCAATCTCGACCACATAAATTCTTACTGAATTTCGCATTGCAATCAAAAACCCAGAAGAAGAAAAAAAAGGTTTTTAATAAAAACCCCATTACGAGAGACAGAACAGATTGTGTTAATGAACAAAGGAATCAAAACAGAACATAAAAAGCAGAGGAAATTGAGAAACCAGAAAAAAAAAAAAAAAAAACTGACCTGGTGAGAGATTCCCTGTTCGATTAGAGTGGGTGATTGGTTCATGGCCGTAAGCAAACTGCTATTTTCAGTTTAGTTTCTGGAGAGAAATTTGGAGAAACAGAGAGAATATAATAATAATGTGGAGAGAGATAGAGAGAGAGAAGTTGGGAAGTGAAGAAAGAGAAGCAAAGCGAGTGAGGAAAGAGGGGAAGAGTGGTGTGTTTTTGGTGCAAAGAAGAAACTTTGCAGGTTTTCATTTAATGCTTTGTTCTTTCTCTTTTTTATTTCGTAATAAAAACTAAATAAAAACTAGTATATGAGACATCCAAAAAGATAAAAAAAGATAAAAAAAAGATAAAAACTAGTATATGAGTCTTCCCTTTTTTTAAAAAAAAAATATTTCTGTTGACAATTTTGATTTCTCTAAATAATAATGTCCAAAATTATCTTCTAAATTATAGTTTACTAAATGCTCGAAAGAAAATTATTAATTTCAATATATGCAAGAAAAATAAAAATAGATACATGTTTTTTCAGTAATATAATTTTGATTAGATTATTAATAATTTTTGTGAACTTTTTTCAAAATATAAAAAGTAGCCATGTTTTGCATTAATTAAAAAACATAATAAAAGTAATAAAAGACAAAAAAAGAGACTTACAATTGGTTTTTGTTTTTGAGATCCTGTTTCACAACTCTTGTTTCACCATTTATATAGAAATAATGATGGAAACAAAAAGTATAACTAATTTGAATAGTAATTCTCTTCAGTATATAGCATTAACAACTACATCACCTAGCTCGGTAACAAGACAGCTAATGATGGGCTGTAATATTTGTTATTTAGCAATATTTAACCTTGATAGTTATTCACAAATAAATGGCCTATTTATTGCAAAATTACATAGGATATAGAGGTCCACTATTATAATAGTAGAGGTAACAAAGTAAAGTATCGTAATGGTGGAAAACAATTATGCAGTATATCTGTATATATTGATAAACAAAATTGCGGACTGAAATAATTTTTGTAATTCAGCTTTTTTTTGTCTTCAATTCAGCTTAAATGATAGTAATAATAAGTTAATAACCTTTTCAGTTTTGTTCAAGTGAAAAAACATACATACGTTTTTAACTAAATCGTAATTCTATATCATAAATGAATCGGTTAAAAAAACTAATTAGTACAATCATTATCATTTAATATGGAAATATATAGAGATAAGTTCATCAAAAATCAGCTCAATTTTAGTCAATTTTATGAAACGGAATGAATAATAGATATACACTCCGAAATATATATGTATCAATATCAGATACTGAATCAATTTATCTGATAAAGAAT